GCATAAAGAGTTGTTTTGTATTTTAATATTAGTTCTGTTTTCTTTTCTAAATTTTACATATTTTTCATAACAGCCATATATTATTTTTGTGCTCTGAAACGTTGAATATGTGTATGTCCTTCCTGACTGGCAGGAAGAATTATTTTTTAAAGATGATATAAAAAGATTTATTTATATCTTTCAAATTTTCCCTGAAAGTCACTTTATCTTCAAATGGAAGCTTTTTTTGAAAATGATATATTCTAATGATAAGTCCATCTCGGGCACTCCCGGAGAGTTCTTCACTACCCCTCAGAGGGGAAGGACCCTGGGCCAGATGTCAGGAGAAACCCACTGTGTGTCCTCGGACTGTCAAGCTCTCTCTCTGGGACTCAGTTTCCTGAATCTATAAAATGGGGCTGGGGTAGGGGGGAAATTTTCACGAGAATCATTGGATTTCCAGTAGCTCTTACATCTCTGGCAGGTGATGGCTAAAAGTTACCAAATACACCTCAAGCCATGAAACAGGTGGTGCAAATCATTTTCTTCCTTAAGGTAGACTCATAAGGGTAAAAACCAGCCCTAGCTGGCGTAGCTCAGTGGATTGAGCGTGGGCTGCAAACCAAAGTGTTGCAGGTTCGATTCCCAGTCAGGGCACATCCCTGGGTTGCTAGGCCATAGCCCCCAGCAACCGCACATTGATGTTTCTCTCTCTTTCTCCCTCCCTTCCCTCTCTAAAAAATAAATAAAATCTTAAAAAAAAAGTGAAAACCAGAGGGGACCAGCTTGAAGACAAGTTTCTTGAGTAAAATTCTTTTTATGTCTATGAGGGTCATGGAAAGTTACTTTTTATATTAACACTGTAGTGGGTACTGCTCCTTCCATATCACCAGAGTCTATTGTTGCCCTTGAACACTTTTTTACATTATGATAAAAAGACACAACATAAAATGTACTATCTTAACCGTGTTAAGTGTATAGTTCAATAGTGTTACATAACCGCCTTCTACTTCCTGTTTCTATGAGTTTGACTACTCTAGGGACCTCATATAAATGGAATCATACTTTTTTTGGTCTTTTTGTGACTCGCTTATTTTAAGGATAGTATCTCCAAGGCTCTCCGTGTTGTGGAATGTGTCTGCTGCGTGTCTATACCACGTTTTGTTTAAGCCACCCCTCAGTTGTTGCACATTTAGATCGCTTCCACCTTTTTGCTATTGTGAATAATACCATTATTAACATGGGCATATAGTTATTGCTGAGACCCCGCTTTCGATTCTTCTGGGTGAATACCCAGAAATGAAATTACAAGATCACATGGCAGCGCTATTTTTAATTTTTTGAGGAACCATCATACCATTTTCCTTAGCGGCTAAGCCATTTTGCATTGCTACCGACAGTGCACAGGGGTTCTAATTTCCCCACATCCTCACCACCACTCGCTATTTTCTGCTTTCTTGATAGCAGCCATCCGAATGCGTGTGAGGTGATATCTCACTGTCGTTTTGATTTGCCTTTCCCTAGTGATTAGTGATGTTAAATCTCTCTTCACGTGCTTGCTGGCCATTTGTCTTACTCTTTGCAGAAATGTCCGTTCAAGCCCTTTGTCCCATTTCTAAATCGGGTTATTTTGTTGCTGAGTTGTAGGAGTTCTTCATATATTCTGGGTATTAACCCCTTATCAGATGCGTGATTTGCAAATATTTTCTCCCAGTGCATTTGATTGGCTTTTCACTCTGTTTATCACATCCTTCAATATATAGACGGTTTTAATTTTGATGTCCAATTTATCTATCGTTGCTTAAGAATCATCTTTTTTTTCTATCATGTTTTTAAAAATATGTGCAGTACTTATTTTTTAAAGATTTTATTTATTTTTTAGAGAGAGGAGAAGGGAGGGAGAGAAGGAGAGAAACATTGATGTGCGAGAGAAACATCGATTGGTTGCATCTCACACACCCCCAACTGGAATCGAACCCTCAGTCTTTCGGTTTGCAGAAGGACACTCGACCCACTGAGCCCTACCAGTCAGGGCTCTATCATGTGTTTTAATTATATAAGTAACAAAATATTGAAGAGAGTTAGAAAATACAGAAGACATGCAGATCGCAAATAAGTTTATGAAGACATGCTCCACATCAGGTCACCAGGGAAATGCAAATTAAGACGACAATGAGATACCACCCCTCATCCCTTAGAATGGCCCAAATCTGGAACATTGATACCACCAAGTGCTGATGAGGGAATGGAGCGACAGGAGCTCTCATACACGGCTGGAGTGGAATGCACGATGGTGCGGCCACTTCGGAAGACTTCGGTAGTTTCTTACAACACTAAACATACTGTCACTATAGGCATCACTCAGCCTCACTCTCCCTCACCTCCTTTCATCTCCTGCTGAAGCTCCCACCCCGGGGTGAGAGCTGTAGGTGTGGTCGGTCCGTGCTCCAGGACCCCTGAGCAAGGAGGACTAAGGTGAGCAAGGGATCTGGGCAGGCAAGGGAAGAGCCATTCACTAGCTGTATGGCTTAGGTAAGTCACTTCCCCTGTCTGAACCTCAAGTTTCCTCATCTGTAAAGATGATAATATCCCCTCCCCTGTAGGTTGGAGGTGAGGAATAAATTACTTACAGCATGTAAAGTGCGTAGCGAGGAGTCCGGTAGGAATTTTCAATAAAGGGCAGTTGCTGTTGTGGTGGTGATGATGACTCAGGTAGGAGAAATAGGGCTTAGGGTGGTTGCTCGGACTTGCTCAGACAGTGGGACAGTGACACGTTTGAGGCAGCCTAGCATACACTGTGACAGGTACCACCACACTCAGTGGGTACAGTCCCTTCAGCTATAAGCACATCAGGTTGACCTGTGCCAAAAGTGACAGCAAAGACCCAGTCTGCACACACCACTGAATTGACATCAGCACATGAAGTGCTGTCACCCACTAGGATCACCCCCACCCCAAGTCTTCCCATCTGTAAACTATGGTCCCTGGTGCCGGTTTGTTTTAGCAAAAGGACCATTTACTTAAATGAGACTGCCAAATGAGAAGGTCCAGATTTCTTCTTTTTTTTTTTTAAGAAGACACAGATATTGGTTAGTTCTGCCAGAACTAACCAATAAAAGACAATTGAAACAGACCTGCAATTAATTGACATTGGGACCTTGGGAGGAATTGATCAGGGGACCTGCCAAATCCACTCACCCGGGCTTTGAGGCCAGTTTGGAAACTGTGGGGAAACTCCACAAACCCCCCATTTCCTCCCAGACAACCTTGGAGGGGAAATCCAAGTCCACGGAGAACATGAAAGTCACCCAAAAGGTACGGGGTCCATGGAGGCTTTATCTTAACAGATGCCATCGTCCCAAGCCCAGCGCTCCCAGGAGTGAAGTTGCCAGGTGAATAAAAATACAGCCCAGTGAGATTCGAATTCCAGGTAAACAGCAAATCATTTGAACTCTGTTCCAAATATTGCATGGGCCATACTTGCACGGAGTTATTTACGTGAAATTCTCATTTAACTGGGCATGGTGTGTTTTACCTGACCTAGGAGTGACAAGGGCAGTGCTCCGCTTTCACAGTTTATAAACTTGGAATCAGTTCCTGGTATTTTTAGGATTTCAAGCTTCCTTTAAAAATGGGAAGCCCCCACCATGCTGGTAGTAGCTGCCTCGAAGTAACATAATGGGGACAGAAGGGAATGTGGGGAAATGGAAAGTGATTACTGGTATATTAGACTGAAGGGATGGGGGTAAGTACATTCGTTTCTAGTTCATTTGTTGCATGGTGAGTCTGGTGGTCGCACTTCAGCAGTGCATGCCCGGGGTTTGGGGAACTGGCCCTTTCTCAGGCTCCTCTGCTGCAGTAGATCCCAGAAGTGCTGGCTGCAGGATCTGAAAAGCTCACCCACCTGCAATGCCCTGCCAGGCCTTGATCACCAGCCCCTCCCTTATCTGAGGGCAGTACCATACCTCCACTGGGTAGAGATGTGTGCTCACAGCGCCCCCTGCAGACACAGGTTGGAGCTGCAAGTCCTACAAGGGAGCCCAGCTCCATCTTCCCTACCAATTATGTAGGCCACACAGGAAGTCAGGCAAAATCTAAGATGGCAAAAAAACAGGGTGGGGGAGGGGAGTGATGAAAAGAAACTAAAAAACAGCATTTGAGAAGCGCTTTGTGTTCCAAGCCAAGTTCTAAGTGCTCCTTTACTCCTCAAAATATCCCCGCAGTGGGTATCTTATCCCAATCTTTCTGATGAATAAGCAGAACCAGGATTCTAACCCGAACTTGAGTCCAGAGCCCATGTTCCTCAGATTTTTGAACACAGGTATAAATTTGTCTAAGCACAGTAAGGTTACCACCCCCCAAAAATTCCTTCATATTCATACCCCTTTCCCATCTGAATTTCTGGCAATCAGATTTCCCATCAGTGTAGATTTCTCACTTGTCTGGCCTCCCTCCCTAGGGGTAATGTCTTTGGGATCCCTGCATCACTAGCTCATTCCTTCATACTGAAGACAGCCATTACTAATTGAGTCTTGACTTTATGCCAAGTGCCACACTAAGCATTTTGATCTCATTGGATCAACAGTACCATAAGGTAACATTCTTAACCTTTTACAGATGGGAGATTTGAAGACAAGAACTGGAAACCACAAGCTGTGAATTGTTTTTCAAACAGGAAAACTGAGGCTTATGGGCATTAAACAGTCTGCGCAGGAACCCTGAGCCAAGAGGGCAAAGCAGCAAACATCCAGTGTTTGGTGGGACTGAAGTTAGGAATATACATGGGGGGAGATAAATGAAATTGGATTAGCCATGTGTCATTGGAATGTTCCACAGTTAAACACTAAAAATGTAATAAGATAGTTCAAGAACAGTCCCAATCACACCTGTTAATACATCACCTGTGAAGCACAGCTGTGGGATCCACCCTCTATCCCTGCAGTTTTAAGTCTGTAGACACTTGGTTGTTAATAACTCCGATTTCGTGTTTCTTTATCCCCAATGACCAAACCCAAGAGCACTTTGATTTCAAGAATTTTTTATTTTCCTTCTCCAGATAGGAAGCCTACAAAATTCCATTATGCTTTCTCAGGAAAACACAGGGTCGATCTTTTCCAAGAGGCCTTGTATTCCAACTCCACCCGTGAGAAACTCCTTGGGAAGAAAAAAAGGTAAGGTAGATTACAATCAGCACCTTGTTCTGAATTAAAGTGCTACTTGTTTGGGATATGGGAGCATCTCGTTAAAACTTTAGGAACTAGGCGGAATGGACCATGATTTCCCATCTCAAAACAACCCATCTCTTCCGCACCTCATCGGAGCCTGTGCGTTGTAGCCATGATGTTAAAATGTTCAACTCGGCCTAGTCTAGATCCTTTCCAATTACAGGGAATAGTGAAGGGGAAATCCAGGGGCACACGAAAAGATTTTTATGTTGATTCTAGAGACTCAGCATCAATGCAATGCATACAAGATACTTTAGAGATGAACTGTGGTATTTAAATATGAAACAGATAAGCAGACATTAAGGAGCTGCTACTGTTCTTAGTTACTAAGATCAGTTATATGGGATAACAGTCTAAACATTTTAAATTTAGAGTACTGAGTGGTCATTGACAAAGGATAAAGGGTTTTATATAAAAAAACTTATTCTATTTGCCCTGGCTGGCATGACTCAGTGCCGGCCTGCGAACCAGGGTGTCGCCAGTTTGGTCCCCAGCGAGGGGGCGCATGAGAGGCAACCACACAATGATGTTTCTCTCCCTCTCTAAAAATAAATGAAATCTCTAAAAAGCATGTTTTAGAGGGAATGCAAAGGAGAAAGAACGAGAGAACCATCAATCAGCTGCCTCACCTACGTGCCCTGACCCGGGAAACCTAACTGGCAACCTTTAGCTTTGCGGGACGACGCCCAGCCAGTTGAGCCACCAGGTCAGGGTGTGTGTGGGACTGGAGACAGACTTTTTTTCCTAAGACCTAGTCATACCAATAGGTCAATACAGTGTTCTGTTGAGGACTTAATTCTCCCCTCCTATTTTATATCCCCAACCTGGAACTCGGTCCCCTGGTTACTCCCAAGCAGGCAAACTCCAAACCCATCTACCCTGGGCACATGTAATAGCCCTTTCATTAATGATTCATTTTTTAAACACCATTTGCAGAGACCTTACCTGTTACAGCACAGACTGAGCCGAAGGGGAAGATCAGGATGCAATCAACTGTCTGCCCAGTGACACACTGGGCTCTGGACCTGCACCAAGTTAACAGATGAAACTAAGACAAATGACCCGAACGCTAAGGAGGCAGGGGGGCACCCAAAGCAAACCCAACCCTCACTTTAAAAAAGCCCCCATAGAGGCCCTGGCTGGCATGGCTCAGTGGATTGAGTGCAGGGGATTCCCAGTCAGGGCACATGCCCAGGTTGCAAGCAAGGACCCCAGTAGGGGGCATGCAAGAGGCAACCACACACTGATGTTTCTCTCCCTTTCCCTCAAATAATCCTAAACAAACAAACAAACAAGCCCACATAGAAAGTTGTTACAAGCAAGCGGAAAACGGGGGTAGCTCTTCAGGGCCAATGCATCAGACAAAAACTGGCTAATAGTTTATTTTGATCAACATGGTCGATCTGATGGGGAAAAAAGTTAAGTCATCACCTGCAATGGCCATATTTGAGCCACAGAAAATAGAACACAAGGATAGCCCCATATTTAAAAGAGAAGCAATCACTACCTCCTCCATTCTCCAGATTTTACGTCTGTTCAGCCACGTGGGCATGGGCACTTAGAAAAATGTGTACATCACTTTCCAATCCTTTCCCACTCCTGGATTCATCCTGGTCCATACCAAGTCTGCTTTTTGCCAACAGTAAACCTGTGAAGAAACACAGAACATGAGCTCCAATCTGCTCGATGCCCAAGGAAATGAGGGACTAGCTCTCAAGCTGGCATATCAGACAGAAACTGGCTTAGAGAAGTTAGATCAACATGGTCGATCTGTCGGGGAAAAAAGCTCAGTCATCATACATGCCAGTACACAGCTCTTAGCTGCTACAGATAAAGAGCCCTGAACCAGGAGTAAGCTTTGGTTGGTCTGCGTCTACACGTACAAATTCATTCAGTATTCGAGCACTTGTGTCCAATTGGTTGGCAGTAAGGAAACGGCAGCTCAGACAAACACCTGTCTTCTGAGCTTTTATCTGACACAGGCCAGCGTGGCCAGCAAGAGTTGTGGGGAAAAGGCTGGCTTTTTCCCAAGGGTCAGGATGGTGCAGTGTAACGCTCAGGTGTTATCGCTAAAAACCTGAGACATTCTGGAAGAGCAAGATTTAAGAAAAACAAGTTCCACCTCCCCACCAGGTCTGCCCAGGCCTGTGAGAGTGAGTGGATGGCTAGGTCGATAGAATGTGATACTTGGCTTTCCCTTAAAATGTCATCCACCCATTTGTAAATTTAAGCACACAAGAAAGCCGTTGATCAAGAAACAGTGAAGGAAGGAATGGAATCTAAAGTGTGCTTTGAAGGGCATTAAAGACTAACACACCAGACACTAAACTCCTCAGTGTTACCTTGCCCCACACACACTGTCGTCTCTGTGGGCTGTGAATGCTCCCGTGTTTCTCCACTTTGCCTTTTATCCGATTCTAAGAGATTTCCCTGCTATGCTTTCTCCTAGGTCCCTCGACTCCACAGCAGTGATTTTCAACCAATGTGCCTCAAGAGTGTTTAAAACATGTTAATACCTGACTACTTAGTGAGGGGCACTAACCCCTTTTCTGTTAAAGTTACCAAATAAAAAAATGACAAAAGCCAACACAACAATAGGTGTCCGGTATGAATGAATCAAAATTATACCCATTTTTTAAAAACAGATCAGCAAAAAAAATGTATTTTGGGTGCAAGCAGAATTTTAGTAACTAGGTTGTATGTGTCAAGAGATGAAAAACATTGGAAGTCGCCGCTCCGATGTATAAAATACGCTGCAAACCGCCACTCTGGAGCCTTTTCTCAATCCGTTGAGTTTTTGCTTTCCCACGCCTATGCAGTTAATTTGGCTCAAATAAACTCTTAATAGGTACATTTTGGGGAATTATAAATAAAGCATTCAGGGCCCTTTAAGGACCACCGAATACATGCATTATAGAAATTGGCTCTGGTTAAACTGTTTCCAAGCGAGGCCAGAAAAGGAAGTGGCTCCCCAGAGCACGTGCTCCCTCCAGTAGGCCAGAAAACATGCTTACCAGGTCAGGAGACCCAAGGCTCTCGATGTCTACGCGACATCGGGGCTCCCTTGGATGCCCAGCATCGACTCTCTCCTTCAAGATCCATTCTGCACCCTTTGATCACGCCAACCTGCAAAAACGAAGAGAGGGCAACAATCACCACCTGCCCACAGTAGGAAAAGAGCATGGCTGGGCCTTTTGAGGCCGGTGTATCAGAACTAACTGGCAAGTGTTTGAAAGATATCAGCATGGTCGATCCGATGGGGAAAAAAGCTAAAGTCATCATTTTCACCAGCCAAGGACTCCTCAGGTCCGTACATCGGGGGCAAGATTTCCCAGCTCTGATCTCCCGCGAGGCGGATGCCGAGGCCCGATGGCCTAGTTTAGGGTCAGAGGCAAGGGGAGCCATGGGCAGAGGCGATGCCAAAAGAAAGGGAGAAATGGGGATCTGGAAAAGAATACAAGTCTAAACTCACCGCACACGGTAATAACCCCGAGTTCTCAGGGCTGGATGACATCGGATAAGGACGATGCAGCAGAACAAACCAGAAAGACCAAGCGGGAACTGCAAACGCAAAAGAACGAGATGCAGCGGGACCGTCCTTATATAACCAGAGGGGACTTTGCGCGTGCGCACTGGACCCCAGGCGCTTCCGGTTCCCGCGGCGCCTCCCGGGAAATGTAGTCTCGGAGTGTACTTCGTGGTTGTCAAGGCCGCGCTAGCACCGCCCCCTTCTTGTGCACATTGGGCCGCCATGTCGCGCTTCACACGCACCAAGAATTCCGTCGAGTTTCCCCTCTTTCGGGGCCGGCGGAGGCTTGCAGCGGCCTGGGGCGCTGTTCACCGGCCCCCGGCAGCCCCCTCCCCTCAGCCTGGCCCGCCCGAGCCGCCGCGGGAAGCTGAGGCGACGCCTGCCCGCTCCTGCCGGGTCTGAGGGCGGGGGAGCCAGCAGTGCCAGGGCCCCTCCTTCTCTGTCCCCGCGTCCGCGGGCCCGGCGTGCTCTCCCCTCCCGCCCCTCCCGCCCCTCCCGCCCCTCCCGCCCAGTGTTTGGAAACCGAAAGGAAAGGAAAGCGAAAGTGCGCGGCTCTGGGCGGAACCGCGGACCTGCTTGGACCCGAACTCCAGTAGCGGGCGGCGGCGGCGGCGAGAGGACGCGCCGGAGCCGGGTGAGTGACCCCTGCCCCGCGTCCCCGCGCCCCCGTCACCCTCCCCAGCACCTGTCACTTTCACCACTTTACCTTCTCACTGCCTCTGACTTCCGTCTTTCTCCGCGCCCGCATCCTCCACCTCGGGGTACCCGTCCCCTCTGCTCGGCGCCCCCTCGACTCCCCCGTCCTCTCCATCCCCCGCCTCTGCACCACCTCGGCCCCCAACTTCACCCCCGCTGCGCGCAGCGCCTCCATTGTCCGCCCGGAGGGAGCTCTCCCTCCCCACCTCTGCCTGCCGCCCCCGTCTCTGCCCTCACTTTCTGCCTCAGCACCCCCCCCCCCGCTTCTCTGTCCTCACCCCGTCCATCGCGCGGTTTCTACGAAGCACCCTCCATACCTACCCTCCCCACCCCGGTTTCCAGGTCCTCCATCACCTCTGCAGCACCCCCCCCACTTCCCGAGGCCCCCGACCCCTTCAGCTCTCCCCGCCGCTGCTCCCACTCCGCGCTTCGGCCTGGCTGTAGCGCCTTCTTCGCTCCTCCGCGCAGCCCCGGCTCTCCCTGACCCCCTGGGGTCCCCGCCAGGCCCCGGGGGGCTCCTGGGGGCCGGCGCCGCCGCCGCCATCCTTTGTCGTACCCTCTCGGGACCCAGGAGACTTCTCCCGACACCAGCCCCGGCTGCCGGTCTCGGCCTCCGTGGTCCCACCCCGCTCGCCTCCTCTTTGATCCCCGCACCAGCCTGGCGGTCCGTGGCTTTCTGCTCCCTGCCCTGCGGGCCCCGATCCCCAGAGAAACCCTCTGTGGTCTGCTTTTGTCCGAGCGTTTCCTGCTGCTTTCTGCCCCTCCCGTGCCTCGCCTTTCTCTTTCCTTCCTTGCATCTCAGAAAACTTCTGCGTTTCTGCTGTAGGTGGTGTTTTTGTTTTTGTTTTTGTTTCCCAAGGGGGAAGAAGGAATCTTTCCCTGGGAATTTTTTTCATGGAAAATAAATAAGTAAACCAAACAACTCAATATTGAACCCGAGCCAAGAGAGCGGGGTTTGATATACCACACCAAAGGGGGAGAGTCACCAAAAATTTTGCCAGCGGGAAGGAAAGGGAGTCTCTTTTTGTCTGATGAGGATAAAAGCTACTCCTCATATAATGCTAAATCTGTACCCAGTTTCCAACTACTAGTATGTAAAAACTTCGTGAGAAGGACAGTCTCGAAAATCCCCTTGCTGAGTACTCCGAGCCACCCACTTTCCCTTCGCCCTAGCCCGCAGGTGTGTATGAGCTGTGTTGGGAAGTTCCCTTAAAGGGGCTTCTCTTCCTCCAAAAACCTAGGTGGAAAGGGGAGAGGGGAAGAACTGCAGATTTGTAGCCGATGGAGGAAAAAGCAGCCCCAGATACTAAGCCTCCTGATTGTTGAAACATATGATTTTCTTTGTTTTGATTCGCTAGAATGGAGAACTTAGTTTGGCTGCATTCCAAAGAGTAGCATAAGGGAGATCTACTAAATAATTATTTACAAGCTGTAGGGTACTGTAAGCTATAGAGTGCTCTATAGTATAAATGCCGAATGGGGTGGTATGTGCATAGTTTTCGGATTAACAGAAATGTACTTCTCTCTGTCCTGGCAACCATGTTTATCTGCTTTATAGAAAGGAAACTGAAACTAACAGTGGTTTAGGTGATTTGGCTAAAGGCATAAAACAAACAGCAGTTTTGAATGGGAATAAATGACACTTCCTCTGCCCGAAGAAAGTGCAGGGCTAAAGAGAAGGGGGGGGGGTTGCCCCCCTGAAGTCACCTAAATTGTGAATTTAATGTTTTTATATCATAGTTGAGTGTTCAGAGTTGAACACTGTCCATGATTAAAATCTGCGTTTAACTCTTGGTTAACAAATCATTAAGATGTACTGGCAGGATTGACTTACTGCCGTTTTGGGTTTTTTCTGCTAGATGCTATGTTTCAAGAGCATTAATTCCTTTCAACCTGTACAGATTTCCGGGCAATTTAAGGTGGAGGAATTCGAGTGACTCAGAGATGGAGGACAGAAGACCTTGTCCGGATGCCAGGCCCAGGAATCCCCATAACAACCACAGAGGTGAGCAAGGTTTTCCAGCTGATGGGAAGGAAACTGGGCTCTGGGTGAAGGAGCAGGCCTACCTCCGATTGGCTGCATCTCTCAAGTAAAGAATGGCTTCTTTCTTAGCTACAATATGATTGACTCTGAAAAAGCAGCCCCTTGCTTTCCCCCAAGAGAATTGATGGATGGGTGCACTTCAACAAAGATAGTGATGAGGTGTCAGAAATGGAAGTAATGCTCTGGTTTAGAGCAGCACTGTCCAGCAGAAACATCATAAAAGCCAAAAATATAATTTAAAATTTTTCCAGTAGCATTGTTTAAAAAGGCAAAGAAACAGGTAAAATCCATTTTTTTAATTTAATAAAATTTAATGATTTAGTACTTATTTAAGCCAACATATTTAAATATCTTACTATAATTGAATGTAGTATTATAATAGTACTTTAATAACTTTAATGTTTTTTATTTACCATATCAAGTATTATTTTAAGACTTTATTAATATAGAAAATTTTAATGAGATATTTAACTTTTTTCCGTAGTAAGTCTTCAAAATTCTGTGTGTTTTACACATTCTAATTCAGATTAATCACATCTAAGATGCTTAGTAGCCACAAGTACGTAGTGGCTTTGTATTTGATAACATGTGTCTAGAGTCTTAGCCATCAAAGCAAAGTTAGCTCCAGAAGCATTACTCTACTACAGCGATTGTTTCATTTGCTAAGAACTTTCTAAAACAAACAACCAAATGGATTTTCACTTTTCCCTACGTTTTCAATATGTCATCTGAGTTTAGCTATGGAACAAGTGATGAAGAACTGTAAAATTTTATGAGTTGTATGAATGTTGAAAATAATGAGAAATAATCAGTTTTTCGTTCTTCCAAAATGTCTAGTTTTCTAACCAGATCAGAATATTAGAAATAGGACTTTCTTCTGATATCTTGGGAATTTGAAAGTACTAATTATAAAAATTTAAAGTTCAGTAGTATACAGTATTTATATTTTACCAAATACTCCTATGTGATTCACATTAAAATTTTCTCTAAAAAATGCAGAACAAGTCCTGGCTGGTGTGGCTCAGTGAATTGAGTGCCAGTCTGCAAACCAAAGGGTTGCCAGTTTGATTCCCAGTCAGAGCACATGCCTGGGTTGTGGGCCAGGTCACCAGTGGGGGCCACGTGAGAGGCAACTACACACTGATGTTTCTCTCCCTTTCTTTCTCCCTCCCTTCCCCTCTCTCTAAAAATAAGTAAATAAAATATTTTTTAAAAATGCAAAACAAGGAAAAATGTACATAAGTAGACTTAGCATTAAGTGGAATGATCATTTTGAGTATGGCGTGTGTTTGAAATTTTTGTGGTATTTTTTATCATCAAATTATTGTATACAGTCTTATTTTTTTGTTTGCTTGTTTCTAAAATCTCCAAGTCATTCTGCTAGTTGGGTCAGCCCCAGAATCATTTTTAGAGGAAAGGAAGGTGGAAAAAACTGGGCATGAGTTTGTGGGCCAAGTTCAGTTATGAAATGTGTGGCAGATCAAGGAAGACAAGTTTGGCTTCATCTACTGCGTGGTGTTAGCTTTCATGTGTGTACTGGGTGTATCATCACCACCACCACCACCACCCCCGGCCCCCACCCTCACATCCTTTCTTTCCCGAGTGTTGATAATGGATAAATACTATGTGCATGAACTCGTACTGCAGAAAGGAGGAACCCTTGAGTTTCGTTTTTCAGTTTCCTTTACATGGTCTGTTGGTTAGCTCAGAGACATCTTAGTAAAGGAAACTCCACATCTCCCTTTGCTCTCTGGGCAAAATTTAAGAAACATTGCCCTGTATAGTTTTGTCCCACTTGATGCCTCTGTTGCCTGTGATGTAATTGTTTAATGGCAGAACCAGTGGCTCTAAAAATCAATAGGGTAGGCCAATAGAAAGTTACTATTAGTGCTACTAGTAATAACTACATTAATGAGAGCTTTTATATGTCAGGTGCTACACTATACTAAGGATCTCATGAACATTTAATCTTTTTTTTTAAAGGTTTTCATTTGTTTTTAGAGAGAGAGGAAGGGAGGGAGAAAGAAGGAGCGAAACATCAATGTGTGGTTGCCTCTCACGTGGCCCCCACTGGGGACCTGGCCTGCAACCCAGGCATGTGCCCTGACTGGGAATCGAACCAGTGACCCTTTGGTTCACAGCCCACGCTCAATCCACTGAGCTTTACCAGCCAGGGCCATAAACATTTAATCTTTACAAAAACCCATATAGTGAAGCTTAGAGAAGTTACACAACTTAGCCAAGGTAATACAGTGAGGAAGTGCCCAGATCAACATTTGAATCAGTTCTTTTTGGCCCTGAAACTCATAACACTGCCTATTGTTTGGTACTAGCAAGAAAATACAAACAATGAGCTGATCTTTTTTTTTTTTTTTTTAAGATTTTATTTATTTATTTTTAGACAGAATAGAAAGAGGAGAAAAAGAGTGAGAGAAACATCAATGTGTGGTTGCATCTTGTGCACCCCTACTGGGTACTTGGCCTGCAACCCAGACATGTGCCCTGACTGGGTATTGAATCAGTGACCCTTTGGGCCACAGGCCCACACTCAATCCACTGAGCCACACCAGTCAGGGCAAGCTGATCTTTTTGACCCTCTGGAATAATCCTCTAGCTTGTGAGGATTAAGTGATACACTACAAGCATTTATTCTCTAGCATGTATTAGACACCCAAAAATGTTTATTCCTTTTCCCGTTTGTACCCTCTGAAAAAAAAACTATATATTTTTTAAAGATTTTATTTATTTATTTTTGGAGAGAGGGAGAAAGAGAGGGAGAGAAGCATCTTTTGGTTGCCTCTTGGCCACCCCGGTCTGGGGACCTGGCCCACAACCCAGGCATATGCCCTAACAGGGAATCAAATCAGCAACCTTTTGGTTTGCCTGACAACACCCAATCCACTAAGCCACACCAGTCAAAGCAACAATATTTTTGTAATATATACAGCAACATAGTAATTGGTTTTTCATTTACTATATGGCTTGGTAGAAAACC